CGGAACTTTTTTTTTTTTTTTTTTTTTTTTTTTTACTCGATTCCTAAAACTTTAATTAAAGTTGAGACAAATAATTTTGTCACAAATTGCCTGCATATATTATCACTAACTGTGTATATTATTAGTGACAAAAGCTAAAGTCACAAATGAATATAAAATTTATGTAAAAAGTTTGTACGATTTAACTACAAATTTTATTTCGTTGCTATTTTAACAATGTATTTTTAGTGACGAAACTTTTTTCTATTGCAAACTTTAATTATTTTTTTAGACAAATGATGGTTTGTCACAAATTATTCGCAACATCAGTGACGAAGTTAATTGTCACTAATAATTTATTTTTGTGGCTAATGTTTTTCAATAATTGGCGCCAATCCATGATTTTGGTGGAAACCTTAGTAGACAAAATTTTTGCTACGAAGTTTGTGTTTCGTCACTAAAAGTATATGACTCATGGATTTATGTACGAAATATAATTTTTGTCACAAAAAGTGAATAATTAGTGACGAATTTTCTATCGTAGCTAATAATTTCGTGGTTAAAAATCACATTTGTTGTAGTGTTAACACCACTTTCACTACCCTAAAGTGAATAAAACTTCAAAATTTTACTTTAGTCTTTTTGGAAATTCAAAGATTTAACTTCCAATGCTAGATTCAGCATATCTATCTAACAATCAAAAAAATTTGGCAGGGAATATTTTATTTATTTTAGTGGATTTGCCTCACGTGAAACTAAATTAGTAAGGTCAGTGGCTTTGAAAATGGAACGGTTAAATCGGAAAAAATATTTATCACCATTGGCTAGCAAAATTTATTTTAGGAGTGTAAACAATAAATTAAATTAATTTATATTTTATAAAGTTTGCTAGCTTTTTCAGATTTAGTTCTTTTCAGATACTTTACTATCATAGCTTTCATATATGTAAGAGTAATATGTTTGTGGAGGTGTTTGGAGGCTAGCGGCATTCCGGTAGCATAAACTAGGGTGATTAAGGATATGTAGGATGGTGCTAAGACTCGAGTGAGGACTGTGGGAGGTGACTCGGAGCATTTTCCTGTTGTGATGGGGCTGCACTAGGATCGGCTCTTAGCCCGTTTCATTTGCCTTGGCGATGGATGTGCTGCCGCGACACATCCAAAGGGAGGTGCCTTGGTGCATGCTATTTGCCGAAGATATAGTGTTGATTCACAAGACGCGAAGCGGAGCTAACGTAACGCGAGGTTGGAGGTTTGGAGACAGACCTTGGAGTCTATAGGTTTCAAGTTGAGCAGAACAAAAACAAAATACTTGAAGTGCAAATTTAGTGACGGGACTCATGAAACAGACATGGATGTAAAGCTTGATGCTCAAGTTATCCGCAAGAGAGCTAGTTTCAAGTATCTCCTGTCTATTATCCAAGGTAATGGAGAGATTGACGAAGATGTCGCACATAGCATGGGAGCGGGATGGATAAAATTGAGGCTCGCTTTCCGGTGTTTTATGTGATAAGAATGTGCCACAAAGACTAAAGGGTAAGTTTTATAGAGTGGTGGTTCAACCGACTAGCTGTATGGGGCTGAGTGTTGGCCAGTCAAGAACGTCCATATTCAGAAGATGAAAATAGCAGAAATAAGGATGTTGAGATGGATGTGTGGGTGTACCAGGAGAGATAAGGTTAGGAATGAAGCTATCCGGGACAAAGCGGGAGTAGCCTCCATGGAGGACAAGATGCTAGAGTTGAGGCTGAGATGGTTCGGACATGTTAAGAGGAGAAGCATTGATGCTCCCGTTAGGATGTGTGAGAGGTTCGCCATGGCGAGTTTCAGAAAAGGTCGAGTAGGCCTAAGAAGTACTGGGGAGAGGTGATTAGACAGGACATGGCGCTGCTTCAGCTCACCGAGGACATGATCGGAGGGTGTGAAGATCGAGGATTAGGATAGAAGGTTAGTAGGTTAGTAGGTAGTTGGAAGTTTCTTAGTTGCTCACCGATAGTCTTAGTAGCACGCATGTCCCTTCATATTCTTAGATATTTATTGCGTTATGTGGTTTTGTTCGCCTCAGGTATTGTATTCTCTGTTGTTATTATTTGGTACTATGTATCCTTTATCTCCCTATTTTTCTTCTCTCTTTCTTGCCTTTCTCCTCCTGTTGGGAATATACTAGGTTTGTTGTTGTTGTTGTAAGAGTAATATGTTGGATATTTGTAAGTTTATATAGAAATTTGAAGAAAATGGTATATTTAAATTAATCTTGCAATATATCAGTAAATATCATGACTATGAGGGTCATTCAACTTGCTTATTCTATAAAACGCCACATCTAATTCCCCTTCTAGGCAATAAACAACCAACCAAAGCTCTAGTCTTAACTCTGTTAATTGTTAGAAGTTCATTGAGAGAAAACAAGAGAGACTTCATTGGCAGTGTTTATTATTTTAATTTAAGGGCGTTTTTCTGTTTCGCCTACATATATTAGTTATATTTTGATTATTAATTTGTCCCCAAAAAGTTATACTACTTGTGACGCTTTGAAAGAACAAAAACTTATCCAGCTACCAAATTGTTCTCAATCGAAATAAAGGTGGAACGGATTTACTATAAAATGGCTATTTAATGCGTACGTTAATGTCGTTCATTTAGATATTAGTTCTTTGTAGCACCTTAAAGGTACGTTTTACTTATCAGGACTATTTGCCAACAAGTTCATAAGATGTTGATGATATATAGTTCAATAGAGATTTGAATGGAGATTTTTGAAAAATTTCTTGCATGATAACATTAAAATAATCAACTCAAAGGTGTTAAAAAAGTGGTTGGTTAGGAGGAGATTCAGAGTTGATCATTAAATGTTGACCTTATATCTTCACAATGTATAGATACATACAGCTTGAATCCGCTGAGCTTGATTGTCGGGACAGCTTGAAAAATTATGAAAGTTTCCATTTTCTGAAATTGTTTCCAATTAGTCGTCGTGTTAATCAAACACGAGAATTTTTAAGAGAAATGGATACGTTTACTTGGTCTGGTGCAAATATTAATAAGTTTTTCACTTAAGGGAATTAGTGAATTAAAACTTTAGGGGGAAAAAATGTACAGTACGTATTAATTATTTGTGGACGGTTTAAATATCTTTAAAATTTCATGCTCCAATAGTTCTTGTAAAGAATACAATTCTTCACAGTTGCTCTTAATAAGATTTTTGTAGTTCAAAGCCTAACCAAAAGTAGAGTTATCCCCGCTTCAATTTGTGTCAATATATTTGGTAGAGTTCCTAAGAAATGTATATTCAAACACAAATGATTACTAGTACACGTTGATATAAATAAAATTCTTGTCCACAGTCCAAACATCTTAATCAGACTTAATCATCATCTACAATATTTTATTACTACCATAAAAGGTATCTTGTCTCTGGAATTTTCTTCACTATTTCTCTACGGGAAAGGCATCCATTCTTTTTTGGGGAAAGAAAAATTCAAATGTATTTTAATAGCGATATCTCCCGCAGAAAATGGTTGAGTCATACATATTACACAAGAAAAAACCACTTTCGCGTTATATAAAATAATTGACGTATGAAAATTATTGTTTTTAATTATTTGTATTACATACAGAAAGGGAAGAAGGATGAGAAAAAGATATTAAGAAATGAACTCACACATCATATGAAACTCTAACATAAAAAAATCTAGAACATTTTATTAACTTGCTTTTTTTTTTTTGAATTTGTCTTGAAACTTTTCACCGAATAATCTACTTTTATTGATAACTATCTATGATTTTGCCAACATAATTCATGACCAGACAGGCGGCATATATTAGTTAGCGTCGGCCGTCAACAGCGAAAGCTAATTGATTTTCTTCCAATCTGATGTTACAACATTGAATTAGTTTTTCAATACTTTTGAAGCGTAATTTATAATGTAAAGATTCGTAAAACTTTTTTTTTTTGGTAGAAATAAAAATTTTATTTAATCTCCCAAAAATACAGTTACAATTTTAAGTCCCCTATCTTTCCTAAGTCCTGCCTACACTTTGTTCTATACAGTTACATTTTCATTATACAAGTGACCTATTTTTGCTATTTGTATAACTGTTCTATCCAGTACAGGTTGTCGTTGTTTTCCTTTTTCTTCATTGCCTCCATGCATCTGTGTTTGCAAGCAAGTTGAATATGTTTTAACAGCACTTGTGGTCGAGGTACTCTTTTCCTCCATAATGCTTCATTCCTAGCTTTTCATATAACTGCTGCCAAAGCTGCTTTTGTGAATGATCTTCCTGCTTTACCTTTTGCAATTCTAGCCATCCTTCTCCCTATTCCTGTTACCTCAGTGTTTTGTATGTTTATCCCCAGCCATTGCAATACTTCAGCCAAGCACATTCTAGAGTATGTGCAATCAAAAAAGAGGTGGTCAATGGATTCTGGTTTTCCTAAAGATTCGTAAAACTACTGCATATCATTAATGTAAAGATAAAATAGTTACATAATATACAGATTTTTCAGCGCAAGTATTCTCGTGACTAAATTCTGAAGCTCGTAACAGAAAAGCTCATCAAGCATACAAATTTTCATATACACATTCTTCCCAATGATATCTCCCTTTTAATATTAAGTTGAGGATCTGATAAAGAACCTTATGACCTCTTTAAAAAAAAAAAAAATTAAAAGACAGTCAAGTGTACTAAGCTCCTGCTATACGAGAGGTCCACGGGACCTCAGGGTATGCTGTCTTCAAATAGGAAACTAGAAAAACAAGCTAAGGAGTTAATCACAAGTGCAAATAACGTTACATGTAAAAGTTCTAAAATAGGACATTAACCATTTAACTTTCCACATTCCATTTACCTTACGAACAAAACAAACTCCGAATTAATGAAACTTGTTGTTCCATATTCAGCAGAGACTCAGATAAGGAAATTAAATCAGGACAAAAGAGAAGCAAGAAGAACATTTCCATTTCACTGGCTTAATTTTATAGAGTAATCCATCCAACACTGTAAAATAGCATCTTCAAGAAAACTAAAAGATTCACCAGCAGAAAATAGGCCGAATATACATTGAATTTCATTGTCTTTTTTTTTGGTCTTCCTTTTTTAATTTTTTTTTTTTTTACATTTTATTTACCATTGTTTCCATGTTGTCACTCCGTTGAGAGGGACTTCTCCAAAACCCAGCACCATAAAACTTGTTCCACATTTCCTTCTCTAGCGCCACCACATCCTTATCGGATCCCAGGCTGTTTCCGCCATCAACCACCGCGAGCGGGGTGGTGCCGATGGGGTGTATTGAAAGCTCCGTGTCTTCAGAGCGGACCAAAAGCCCTTTCTTCATCAGCCGACGTCGGCGTTTCTTCCTCAGTGCCTTCCGGCAAAGTCCCGCTGGCAACTTATACACAGCTAGCACGAGGAGATTCACCAGCCCGCAAGGGCAGCAGCAACAAACCGCTGCACATTCAGCCGTCGTTCCGCCGGCGACCTCCGCGAACCGTGCCGCCTTCCGAACCCCACCTCGTGACGATGAATCTTGGCCCGATAACAGTGGCTGCCGCCGCCGGTCCACTGAAGGTGCACGGAGGACTATCTGTTTTGTCATAATCCGAAAAATAAGATTTTTCTCCCCAAAACTATTCAAAAATCAAAGAACCCCACCAGAGATTTTGGTGGGTGGTGGAGGAAATGGCAGTCGTCGGCCTTGGTGAGAGGAGAGAGGCATCAGAGATTTTGGTGGGGTTGGGGTTGGCGGTGGGGTGGGAGGGGAAATATAAGCTGTTGAAATAATGGTAACCCCTCCGAAATTGAAGGCAGAAGTTTTAAAACTACCTGAGTAGGCAAAATATAAATAGGAGAATTAATGAAGTTTTAGTTAGTTAAATGTATGTGAGCATAAGCTTCTCCTTCTCCTACTCTTTTGCTTCTTCTAATATCTTTCTTCCAAGAATATACTAATCTGGTTTAGAGCAAAGGTTGAAGTTTAATTGATTGTGATGTGACGATAATATGTGGAGGAGAGAAAAATAAGGGTTTTTTGGTGGAGCACGGAATTGGCATTGAAGGGTGGGAAGAGGGAGATGTGGTCTGAAATTTATAAAGATGATGTGGTGAATGAATGAGGTGTAAGGACATGGATGGATGAAGTATTTTTTATTACAAAATTTTTTAGAGAATGATAAATAATAGACTTGTCTTTTATGTAGTTATTTTTTTAATTTATTTCATAAAGAATGACACATTAATAATATATATATATATATATATGTAAGAATAGTTTATTATTATTTTTTATTATTAATAATATAATTTACTAATTATATATATGTTATTAGATATTTAAGAGAATAAGTTTCAATAATATTTTTAAATTTCATATTTAGTCAAACAAGTTTACATAAATTAAAACGGTGGAGTAATAGTTTTTTGTTGGAGTGCATTCTAAGAGCCCGTTTGGACATAAAAAGATCTTATAATTTTTCTAATCTGACTTGCAAATGCATTTTAAAATTTGAAAAACTGGTGAGAATCAGTTTTTCAATTGAAAATGGGAAGGTTGCTAGTTTTTTGTTGTAAAATATGTTTTTAAAAAGACATACAAATATGTTGCAAAAATTAAAAGCAAACAAAACTTCATCTTCAATTAAAATTTGAGTGAAATTCCAAATTTGATTAAAAAAAAAAATTGCAATTCATGTCCAAACGACTACTAAAATGTGGTAAGATGCTTGGGATCCCTCCATCTTTCACGGAACATTTTTGATTTGTTTTATAAATACGAAAAACTTCTCGATAGAAATTATTTTACTATTCATAATGGGTTTACCTGAATCAAAAGTAGTTAGTCCAATAAATTAAGAATATAGAGGGTTAAAATATCTATTAAAAAAATGGAGTATTGTCGGAAAGGGTGGGGAGGGTCGACGGTATGTCGGGTTGGGGGACAAGAATACATGAGGGAGTTCAAGGTGTTCTTAGAGGAAGACAAGACACTAGGAGATGATAAAATAGAGGATGTACGAGGAAGAGGATGAACAAATTTAGGATTATGGCTTGTCTAACAATGGCTATTTGTTTTCTGGTCCCTCCAACTTGTTTTTAGGGTTACACATGAATGACAAAGAAGAATTGAAAAAACTATAAAATAAAAATTAAAATTAAACTATCTTTAACCAATCTAAATTGTCTTATTTCCGTATGCACGGTACTGAAATAATTGATTGGTTAAAGATATTCAAAAAATTTAACCAAGCAAAGACATGCATCTTTCTTTTTACTTATTTTGGAAATGTGAAATCAGCGAGTAGATAACTTATGCTGAGACTGTTTGCAAATCAAATGAAAATATTTCGGTTTGAGTTAAGGAGAAAGTGATCAAGTAGTTTTTTTAATCATCTTTTGACAGTTGTTCTAACTGGGTGATTGTAGTCAGGGTGAGAACCAGTGTCCATTTTTGAAAACCAGTTCGTTGTCATGTTGGGGCGTTCGACTATGGAAGCCATTCACATTGTGAGGAGATTGGTGGAGCGGTATAGGGAGATGAGGAACGACTTGCACATGGTGTTCATTGACCTAAAGAAAGCATATGACAAAGTCCCGTGAGAGGTGCTCTGGCGATGCTTGGAGGCTAAAGGGGTCCCAGTAGCCTATATTAGGGTGATTAAGGACATGTATGATGAAGCTAAGACTCGGGTTAGGGCAGTGGGAGGAGTGCTGATGACATAGTTTTAATTGACGAGACGCGAGGGGTGGTGTTAACAAGAAGCTGGAGGTTTGGAGGCAGACCCTAGAGTCTATGGGTTTCAAGTTGAGCAGGACCAAGACGGAATACTTGGAGTGCAAGTTCAGCAACGGTACCCAGGAAGGGGATATGAAGGTGATGCTTGATACGCAAGTCATCCCCAAGAGAGGTAGTTTCAAGTATCTTGGATCTATAATACAAGGTAACGGGGAGATTGATGAAGATGTCACGCATCGTATCAGAGCAGGATGGATGAAATGGAGGCTCGTTTTCCGGTGTCTTGTGTAATAAGAATTGTTGGCCCAAGTAAAGGTTAGTTTTGAAGACTGACAAAGGAACTCAGACATGAACCAGGTCCATCCCTCAGGTTCACAAAAACGGGCAAATTCAAGCATGTGGGATGCACGTGAAGGAGATAAGCTTAAATTGGTGTATTTAATATCTCCTGATCGAAAAGGTTGCATAATTGATAAGGAGAAGGACTCCTTAATCAAAGAGAACACAATTCAAGATAGTGAAGGAGTTAGAAGTTGAAATCAACTAGAACTCTTCCACCAAGGAAGAGTTGCATCAGAACTCTAGTTATTTCTTCGTCTACTAACTCTATAAATTGCAGGATGTTCTCACATTAAATTGTTGCACAAAAAAGCAGAAGTTAAACGTGAATTGGGAGCAAAATAGCAAGACTTTTTGCAAGCAATTCGTGTGTGATTCAAGTGTGCAAACCTGAAACTACAAGAACCAGATTGAAGAACCAGCTCCATAAAGAGTTTTATGTGTCTTTCTTTATTTCTAGTTCAATTGTAGTAGGCATTTTATATTGTACCTTTCAGCTTTATCTAGAAGCAATTGTAATAGGTAATTTGAGTATTCAAGTTAGAGTTAACTTAAAGTTGCCGCAGCAGTTAGAGGCTGGTTGCCACAACGGGATTAGAGTTAATCCTTAGGTTTACAAAGAGTTTTGTAAATGCAGTTTTGGCTCAGTGATTTTAATGGAAGTTTGGGAAAATCCTACTGAGTAGTAGGTCGTGGTTTTTTTACCTTTTGAGCCAGGTGTTTTCCACGTAAAAATCTCTGTGTTCTTTATTTTATGTACTTTTAATTCCGTAAACAGTAGTAATAAGTACACCTAGAAGAACCAGGTCCTTCCAGAAGCAGTTTAAGCGAAAAATTGAGTACCACACAAATCACCCCCCCTCTTGTGTGGTATTGACGTTTAAAACATCAATTGGTATCAGAGCAGGTTATCCTTGAAGAGGCTAACACCTTAGGAACAGATCAAGATGAGTGCACCACCTGGAAACTGGGAAGGGCAATCCACTGATAGGCCTCCACTCTTTAATGGGCAGTACTACTCTTGGTGGAAAAACAGGATGAGAGATCACATCATCGGAGAAGACTATCAGTTATGGGACATTGTCACTGATGGTCCCCTTGCTACCATGAAGAAGAATTCTGAAGGAGTAGATGTGCCAAAAACAAGAGCTGACTGCAATGCTGAGGACTTGAGGAAGTGGGAAAAGAATGCAAAGGCCAAGAAATGGCTTGTGTGTGGACTTGATCCAGACGAGTACAGTAGAATTCAAAGTTGTACCGCTGCTAAGGAGATATGGGACACTTTACAAGTGGCTCATGAAGGAACTCCTCAAGTAAACAGATCAAGAGGAACACTGCTATATTCTCAATATGAGAATTTCACCATGATGGAAGGAGAAACCATCCAGGAGATGTACACAAGGTTTACAACACTAACAAATGAACTTAAATCTCTTGGAAGGGTTATTCTTGCAGAAGACAAAGTTGAGAAGATTTTGACAAGGGTACTGCCAATCTCTTGGGAAAGCAAAATCACACCTATTCAGGAATCAAAGAACATTGCCACTCTCAAGTTGGATGAGCTAATTGGAAATCTCACTGCTTATGAACTTAGAAGGCAAACCATGAAGATGGATGCACCTAAGAAGGAAAGGAGCATGGCATTCAGAATCACTGAAGGTGCTGATCTAGAGAAGGATGAAATTACCATGATCACAAAGGACTTCAAGAAGTACCTAATGAGAGAAAATGATCCTTCAAGAAGTGGAAGCTACATCAAACCAAGGGTTCCTGAAAAACAAACCAATGAGGGGTGTTACAAGTGTGGGAAGACTGATCACCA